AGCGACAGTTTGCATTCACCGAGCAGGGATCTCCTTACTACAATTCCGTCTTTGTTTTGTCCGTCAAAGGAAATGAGAGGAAGAAATAGAGTTCCTGTGGTGATTTCAGGTGGTTGAAATTCTCACATTACAGCAAGACACCGCGAATTCAGCATTTCTGAACAGCTTTCAACGCAGTACCTGGCTCCTGCCATCCGTGGGCATTGGCTTTCATCATGCATCAGTAAACTGGGTGTGTTTTCACCGTGATTGTTAGCACTCCCTGCTCTGAATCCGTCATCCTCACCTCTCTGAAACACTGCCTGTAGGACTTTCAGAGCTTCAATATTTCTGTGTGATTTTTGTCATTCATTGGATTCTTTCATCGCGCACTAGTGTGAGGATTTACAGCAAGAAGGTTCAGTCCCACACAGATGAGCACAAGGTAGGCGACAGCGTCTCCGTCTCGGCCTTCGTGACACCTGTTGATTTTTGCTTGCAGACATGTGCCATTTGTCCTGTTTCTTTAGTTCTGTGCATGCCCTGTACTTCTCCCCTTACGCTCTTGTCCGAGCAAATGCATCAGTAAAATCACTGCTTGCAGCCAAGTGCTCAGCAGCCATCCTATTTGACAGCAGTCCTGCATGCCCACCAGGTCGAGACAAAGTGTTATGGCAAGGCAACAGCTTGGCCCAACCCGGCAGAATGCGACGGACTTCCTGGACACCCATGGGTGTTTTCCTCTTCTCTTGACTGCAGTGGGTGTTGGCCTTCAGGCTGCGTACAGACCCAACTTTCAACTCTCGGGGTTTTACAGGATAACTTAGGTGAGCTTTTGATTTTTGCTTATTGCTATGTGCGAGTATAGTATTTTGCAGAAAGGTGTTTTCAGAAAGGAAATTGTGCCAAGATATAACTTCATTTTGATATATTGTTTCAGATGTCTTGTCATGTGCTCTGTTCCAGTGCGTGGTAGAGAAGAAGTTTATAAGGGTAACTAAATTGCAAGATTTAGACCAGCGGGTCACATACTTTCACTGAAAATATTATTTTGCAGTGCTTTTCAAATGTCATGATTGCAGTTGGAAATGCAAGCAGATTTCTTTCTAAGGCAGAACTTGCAAGAGGGTGGAAGTTCCCCTTGCTGCAAAACTCCACTGAATGAGGCGTAACCCACTAGGGGCTTGGCCCAGGTATTTGTACCAGTGATGAAACACAGCCTCATTTTCTGCCCTGTGAATTTTCAGGTGTTTGGGGCTTTTGTTCTAGAGAAGAGCAAGTGTGGTGTTGTACTAAGGGAGGCCTTCAGTGTCTTACTTGGCATCTCTGACGGTGAGGGAAAGGGATGTGCAGAATTGGTGGGCAGCTGACCATCTTAGGTCAGTTTAAGAGAAGCAATGACACTGAGAGCTGCGGAGTCATTTTGTGGCATCATGGGTTTGTATCAGAGGGATTAAAGGCAGGCGTTGTGTGAGGTAGAGAACTTCACAGGTCACAACACCTCCCTGTTGTCACCATACTCTATTCTTCACATTCTCTTTCCATAACAGCCTACTGTTCTTCCAAGCTCCATCCACCCTTGGACAAATGTTTCTTCTACTTTCCCTCGGGGCAATTTTCATTGAAATCCTCATTACAAGTGTGCCAGTACTCGTAAGAGACAGTGGATTCTGGTGTGAATTACACTGGCTACTTGCAGACGGGACTGCGGACCTGTGCTGGCAGCCACAGCCATCAAAGGCCACCGGCACCCCAGGAGAGGGAGCACCTCTTGTCCACAGGGAGCAAACCAGACTCTACTCAAGCCTCCCAAACCCCACACATGGGCTCCTCTCTCCCCTCTGTCCTTTCTCTCTTTCTTGCTTCCTTCTTTCCTCCCCTCTTTTGGTCCTTCCCTTCTTCTCTTTCTTCCTCCCTCTCTTTTGCTCTTCCCCCTCTCTCTTCTGCCTCTCCTTCCCCCTTGTTTCTGTCCCTGCTTAGATACTTCCTTGACAGCCAGTGGTAGTGTGTTCTCCGATCACCAGAGCAAAAAGGCATTACCATGCCAAAAAAGCTCGTGTCTTATAGCAATACATTAACATTCCCAAAGCCTTTTCCCTCACGTTAAATTTCTTCCAGAAATAAAATGCTGCTCCTCAGTTCTTTGTACCACGTATGACAGCAAAATTCTCAACATACTCTTCTTTTGGTTGTTTATAAAGCATACTCATTTGCAGTACAGAATGGAGAAATCTGCTGTCTTTGGAATCAGGAAAATCTGCAAACATACAGTTAGGATAGAACATGAAAGACATGAGTAGAAACCAATCACATCCCTACCAAGAAGGTTCTTGCTCAAACCAGGAATACTCCACCGTGTGGAGGGCTCTCAGATACACAGCTGATCACTGACCATGCCCTGTCACACATGGCTGACAGGAGGTCATGACAGCTTTCCCAGGGGAGCATACCAACAAAACACATTCAGCTATGAAACATGTACCTGAGCAACGCCAGCTGTCAAAGGCATGGCATCCTGCTGTACCACGTCTCATCTGTCGCGGGTAGAGCTGGGCAGAGACACAGGTTACGAAAATATTTAGGAAGTCCTGTTTGATGGCCTCTGTTGATAACCAAACAACACAATTAACAGCAGTGAAACTGAGGAACGTGGCATTCCTATCTAGCTTCTGCACTCTGGTGAAACCACAGCACACAGGCGTGCTCCTCCTCAGCAGAGGACTCCGCATCTTGAAAACAGGATGATGGCAACAAGGCTACTGCACACCCCCTGTGTCACTCCAATTCCTGTTAGCCCACCAGCAAAACAGCCTGTAGCGCCAACAAACGTAAAACATAGATGCACAAGGCAGTCAAATTGCTTAAAATGGCTCTGTTGCACACCAGGGATGCTGACCAGACATGCTGACCACACTTGCACATGTGTCCTGGTTCTTGTCAGCAGGTGGGAGAGAAAGCGTGAGCGGGTCAAATCAATCCGCTTAGAATGAAACCACCTTATACTTAGGTAAGATCTTGCCCTGAGATTTGTAACATAGACATTTTAATACAAATAATGAACCTTGAGAGAGCTGCTACTGTTGAGTAACCGGAGTATTTTCTAAGTTGAGATGTGTCACTGTTTCCCCTCATGTCTCACAACACTTACTCAGCCAAGATAAGTAGCAACCTCAAAGCACACACATCGTAGCCTCACCTTCTGGAACTTGATTCGACAACCACGGAAGTCAAGAGGAGGGCTGCAAGGGAAAGACTTTAGCATCTGTCTCATTCAGGGCCTATGTTAAACTTGGGTTTCATCTCACCCCTGGAGGACTGCTCTTCCACGGCGCTATACAGAAAAATGAGTTTAATCTGTTTTTAAGAAAAAGAAATCAGGTCATGGTGGAAGATTTCAATCACTTCAAGGAACATGTCCATGGTCTTACTGACAAGCAGAATTAGCACTCATCATGTGTAAATACACAGAGACCACCTCAGTGGCTGAAGGGAATAAGTCAGCAACGGTAATGAGGATTGCTAAGACTTAGTTTTAAATACTCATTGACATCAGATGATCCCCTTACTGGTTTTCTCCTCAACTACGAGTATGGCTTCTTCCTGTGAAGAGCCCCATTACACAGAAAGCAAAGGCATGAAATGTTTGCACACAGAGTAATGATTAAGAGACACACTTTGATGGCACCTGAAGGTAAATCCAGACAAAAGCCTCTGAAGTCACAGAATCATAGAAAGTTTTGGGTTGGAAGGGACCCCTAGAGGTCATCTAGTCCAACACCCCCTGCAGCAAGCAGGGACACCACCAACTAGATCAGGTTGCTCAGAGCCCTGTCCAACCTGGTCTTGAATGTTCCAGGGATGGGGCCTCCACTGCCTCTCTGGGCAACCTGTTCCAGTGTTTCACCACCCTCATTGTAAAGAATTTCTTCCTTATATCCAGCCTAAACCTACCCTGTTTTAGTTTAAAACCATTACCCCTCGTCCTGTCACTGCTGTCTCTACTAAAAAGATTGTCCCCATCTTTCCTATAGGCTCCCTTTAAGTACTGAAATGCTGCAATCAGGTCTCCCCGCAGCCTTCTCTTCTCCAGGCTGAACAAGCCCAACTCTCTCAGCCTGTCCTCATAGGAGAGGTGCTCCAGCCCTCGGATCATTTTTGTAGCCCTCCTTTGGACCCGCTCCAACAGTTCCATGTCCTTCTTGAGCTGAGGGCTCCAGAGCTGAACGCAGTACTCCAGGTGAGGTCTCACCAGAGCAGAGTAGAGGGGCAGAATCACCTCTCTCAACCTGCTGGCCATGCTTCTCTTGATGCAGCCCAGGACACGGTTGGCCCTCTGGGCTGCCAGCGCACATTGCCGGCTCATGTCCAGCCTTTCGTCTATCAGTACCCCCAAGTCCGTCTCAGCAGAGCCACTCTCGATCCTTTCATCCCCCAACCTGTATTGGTACCGGCGATTACCCCAATCCAGGTGTAGGACCTTGCACTTGGCCTTGTTGAACCTCATGAGTTTCACACAGGCCCACCTCTCCAGTTTGTCCAGGTAATAAGTCAATAAGAATGACTCCGGACTCATGTTAGACAATATAAGTTTGAGTTCTTGATAACATGCAATAGGCTGGCTTCGCTTTAGAGGTCTAGAATGTAACTATAAGCTGCAAAAAAGGGAAATTGGATCCATATCCCATGATGACCTTCACTCCTACAACAAGCACAGAACCTCAGTAACCTGGCGCAGTACACCAAAGCCACCACCAGTGGGCTTTCTGTCCACTGATGCGTTACACCGTAACTCCCTGCTGCACTGCAGGGTCAGGCTTTAAAAATTTCTTTCAATAATATTTGCCATTGTGCAAGTCACACAAAAATCAGGTTGCAGTGCCCCTGCAACAGTTGTGCAGTCCGGCAGTCCAAAAAACTGTTTAAAATGGATTGCAGTGGTTCAGACTACATTTCTACTTCCTCCTTGACAAAAGCCTTCATCATCACACAAGTCAGCTGATCTGCTGACTCATCTTTTCACTTTGTCATTTTTTTTTTTGTAAGATCACCAGCTTTCAGTGGAAAAGTGCTTCAGACCACAACTTATCTTAAGCTACTTTCAAATCCTGGCTGCCAGGCACCTAAAAAAAACCCAGACAACTACTAGACCATAATAACACCACCTCACTGAAAGAGTAGAACTTACCCATACTTCTAGACAACAGCTTTTTATAGTCCAAGTACTGTAAAATATTCTTGAATGTACAGAAAACGACATAGGGGGAAAACAGCCATTTTAGAAGGTGCCCACACAAAGCAACTATTCCTACTCTATCTGTTTTTTTATAAACTTAACCGCTATGTGCTAAGATTCAGCAAGAAGCTACAGAACACAAAATATCGCTGATCACACATTTAGTTACTACATAGTATTTGAAGTTTATATCCTATCATTGGACAACACTAATTGGCTGGACCTGTCTAGCTCATGCCATACTAAATTTGTATCCACAGAATTAATATGGAAAGATGCAGTAGGTCCCAAATAATTTCAGGCATCTGTAGTCAAATATGTTGAAATCCACCCCAACAGGAACAGATTTATGAGTATTACTGCCTGCACTGCAAACATGCTAAGCAAAGAGCCAGTAACCACATCATCTTGCTGAAACTGCAGTTTTTCCAGTGCACAGCTAAATATGAACAGCAGTGAACCGGTACACCTGACGTACAGCAACAGAAATAATGATCACCTGTCAGGTGGTAGATTAACTGCAATGTGTTAAAATACAAGTTGACTACTCAAATCGTTATTCAGTGCTTTTCTGAAGAAGAATGGTCCCCACTCCCACGTGCAAACAAAACAATCAAACCACATTCATATATTAATTTTTATTTTCCCACACGTTATTCACAGGGTCTGCTTTTTAAATTTCCCCTCCCCCCCAAACTAAAACAAGAACTGACATTTCAGGACATGAAAAGAAGTTCTGTAAACATAAAACATCCAAGGAGTAGTTGAAACCCAGGGCCTTTAGCAATTAAAAACACAGTTATATCCCCTTTAACGCAGGGCGTTTACTTGTGTATCACACCATTAACTAAACTATTATTTTCATGTATTAAAAAGATGCAGCTTTACCCAAAAGTCACAATGCATTCCTTCACCCACTGCGTGTTAGCATGTTTTATTATATCCTACTCGGTCACTTAGTTTAAAAACTATATACAGCTATGTTTAACCATGTGTGTTTGTGCCGTGTTTTTAATAACACAAAAATAAAGGTATTTTTAAGCTATTCCTGCATATCCTGCAGCAGGATACCAGAGGACTGGTTTGGATACGTAACTTACATGCAGAAGTCAAGTCCACTAAACCCCTGCAGTGGGAGTAATATTGAGCTGAACAGTCCCACCTCACACATTTAAACATTACGAAAGAATAGAGAGACATGTACGTGATGGCTGAACATCATCTGTTTTACACCGTTGTTTACCAATTTTGACAGCATACAAAACAACTCAGTGGGGAAAAAAAAAAACCCAACATCTTTCAATCTTCAAAACAAATGCTTTTGGTGTGATTAAAGCTACACAAGTGATATTCAAACTCCAGAAGATAATAGTGGACACTATCAAAATTAAATCATGTTTTCACCCAAAACTTGCACCTGAAGTGTACCACTAGCTTCATTACTGCGTGCAACGCAGCACAAAAAGTACTGAGTATCAGTGGCTGAAATACAAGAATAAAACATATAGGTACAATCAAGAATATTGTGTGCAGGCACAGATTTGTATCGTAAGAAGAAAGCACTAGTTTTTTTGTTTTCTGATCTCTGTGAGTCTAACTGTTTCTGGGAAGCTTGCAGCCCAAAATGGGACTGCAGTACTTAAAATTCAGTACAGGATAGAAAAGCATTACACATAATCATGCATTTCACATACATTAAGCTTTTTAATACCTCCATGACATTTTAAAGAATTTTTGAGCTGTTTGAGGTTTTTCTTCAGTTTCCAGAAGAACAGTCATTCAGTTCACAACAGAGAGTAGGGGCACTTCTACTTATTTTTTTCAGCCATCACAAGATTTTAAAATCAAGACATCTTAGATCATATCTTCAGATTGTTTGAGTGTCACTCGTACATGTAATTTCAAATTTTTGCTAGAAATAATACAGGCAATTAGTAAGGGTTTAGCAGTCTTTCTCTGCTTGCTGAGAACGTGTTTCAGAAGCATCTTTTGAATTAGCCAGTAATATATGACAATTTTGTTCAACTTAGTTTAATTTGTGTGCACTTAAGAACTGGTCAGTCTACTTATTCCTCCAGAGCCATTTGAAGGAGTTTAGCCTTACTACAACCAGCTCAATTAAAGCTGTTTGTAGCTACGTACATTTACTATCTTCCACATCCAAACGAAACAAGACTTTACAGCACATAAGCTACTAAAGACATAAGCAGTGGAAACAATGTAACTACAACTCTGCCAAAAAGATTTAAAACATTTCCTGACCACTAGCAAAAAAGAGTGGCAATTAGATGCACAAGGCCATCAAGTATCAGTGCACCACACACAGGAAAGTAAAATTTACAGCACTCGTGCAATGCAGTATCAGTATCAAATTGGCCTCTTAATAGGAAAACAGTTTAGTAAAAAGCTTTGTTATGTGCCTAACACATAATACAACCTCGTCCAGTGCTGGTGCTGTGCTGCTTAACCACGCTACTTGTGGTCTTAAATCCAAAAAGCAGCAGCAGCATACAGGAGTACAGAAACTGCGCAGTTTCAGTGACAAAGTTACAAGATTCCCTATTTTATTGCATGTTTCTTAAACTTGGAGATTTGGATTTTTGAATACAGAAAGTGGATTTCCTGAGTAGTCTCAGCTTACAATTTGTTCAGTAAAACAAAAACTGTAAAACAGGAAATTTTTATTTTAATATAGAAGAATGCATGTTTAAGCAAACTTGCTAAATATTATACTCAAGTATAATATTTAGGAAGTTTTGAAGGTGGAGACTTACCAGGCTGATGGAGAATTTGCACCATGATGCAGTGTCAAGTTTGCAACAATTCTACAAATAAGCAAGGGATGTAATTGGATTACTTTTTTAACAGCAAACCAAAATAATGCACCACACTTCATCACATTTGCCTTTTTGTAATCCAACACAGTCAGCCTGAGGATTGAAAACAAATCAAATTTTCATATATACTGGCTCTCATATCAGACACTAGCCTGATTTATTTCAAAGTGTTATACTGCAGATGTCCTATCTTAACGGGCAAAAATCAAACTCAGTCTAGATTAAAATCAGTAGAAATGAAGTGAGGCTGGTCACTGCCAGATATTTAATACAGGAATCAGAAAAAACTCAAGTTCCGACGTATTTTTAAAATATTTCATATCACGTGTCTCTTTCACAACATTTTGGGTCTGTTTTGTGATTTTTAAGGGATGAAGGGTAGACACATGTGAGTGTTGCATATATTCAGATCCTTTGTACCTGCAATTAGCTGGAGATCAGTAATTTTTTACAGATGAGTAGCACACAATGACCTGAAGCATTACCACTACCAGTTATGATCCAACACGGGTTGTCGTGGTTCTTTTATCTGAGAAGAAGCTTTTGAGAAGAAACACCTGCCCGATACTAACGACAAGAAGAATGATGGCTTCCCCTATTGACCAGTAGGCCACCCTCGTGTTTAAATCCTCTGCTCTGCTGCGACCCTGTGCTTCTCTCAAGCGAAAGTGAGTCTGATAATCGATGACAGACTTCAAAGCTTCGTGAATCGAAACACACGCAGACTCCATCTAGAGAAGCAAACAAATACACAACACTTAATTAAGAACCCTTCTAGTGCTTTTTCTGCAAAGTTTTGTGATTAGGTATTCAAAATCAGGGTTCATATAACTTCACAAGCTAAGGATTAACTCAGTCCATTGGCATACCGAAATACTGTAAATGCAGTAAAATTTAATGTACATTCATCAAACTCCATACACAGAAACACAACAGACTATTAAACACAGAAGTGTGTAAAACTGTAGATCTCTTAAAAAGCAAGGGGCTCTCAGAATCACTAAACAAAGCTTGAATTTTGGCATATTTGGGTTCAAGATGAGCTTTAGAAATACTTTTGTAATGTCAGTGATCTCCCAGTTGTTAATTCCACACGTGCCAGGGAAACAGTTGCTTCTAACATTCAGATGCACATAGTATATACTAAAAGCTTTTGTGTTTCACAAGTAAGACATTCTTCACTGCATAATTCTCAGTCAAGTCGTACCACATCCTAAAAATCCACATCACTGAACCCAACATGGTCTTTCAGCAAGAGGCCCTTCTTAGTCATGTGCACAAAAAGTGGTTAGAGAAAGGCCCATTCTGTTACCTTTCAGTGTTCCTGAATGCTCCATAACATAATCATATAACAAATACTTAAGAAATTGCCCAACTACATTTTTTTCCGTGTGAAAAATGACAGTATTACCAGTTTTCCAAGCCCTCGATAATTTTTCTCATAAACTTCTTCCACTTTCAGTTTATCTTCTGTAAGTAAAAGTCTGTACCCCTCACTGTATCTTGATAACCAAGACATTAATCAACAGATTTTCAAAATATGTAATAGAAATTATTTCTATTTTTTCTATTTTATGGCTTAAAATTAGTATTTCCTAAAGATCAAGCAGCACCACCTACTATAAAAGGAAACGTTCAACACCCTGATAGAACCACTCTTAGTTACTTATATGTCTGTCTAACCATCTTCCCAAGTTGATGACATTCAAGACAGGTGTCTGAACAAGTCTAAGATATTCTTCTCAACAAAATTCATGAACAAGTTTTCCAAACTAAGTTCCCATTGTTCTCACTGACAAATTATAGGGCTCTCCTAGTCCGCACAATTGATTTAAACACAAAGTCACTCTGGTTTTAGGGATTTACCTTTTACTGCCCCTGTGAAAGGCTGCCCAAATTTGGTCACGCTACAAGCCTCCAAAAAACTGCAACAAGAGTCTGCTTACCAAAGATGTGTTGTACTCTGAAAATTAACTTTCCCTTTCCCAAATACTTATTTGCCTTGTGTATGCTACAAAACAGTGATAAACTGATTTTTTTAGGTACCTTCTCCCACAGACTGCAAGGGGCTGCAGAGATGAGATGGAAAGATACGGGATCAGTAATCAGAATACAAAATTAAGCAGAGCAGAAGAGCGACCAAAAGAAAAGAGGTAAGAGCTGTAGCTGAATTCACAGCAAGTTGTCCACTCGTTACAGATCTCAGGTACTCCAGACTTATGTGCAGTAAATTCAAGTGAGGCTGGCATTTGGGAAGCAGTATTCATATCACTGAGTCCAGACTAGCAAAACAGTGACCACATCCAACATTCTTTAAAGGTTGTATAAAGTGAGGTTTTGTGATGGTTCTAACGTTAGAACGTTGGTGGGAATTCATGAAGCAAGTGTTCCAAGGGAAGTTTTGATGGACTTAGATTGGGTAGAGGTGGTAAAAAACCGTAAAATCCTGAGAAAATAATACTAATGCTCTGACACTCTGCAGTGCCTGATAAAGCACAAATAACTAGAAGCCAGTTAAACATGGCTGATTTTGTTCATTTGCCTACTTTGCTAGAATTTTCTTCTCCAACTTCAATAGGGCAGTCACTAAACTAAGTCCTCTCTCCAGAAAGACTCTACCATTCTAAATATGAAAACAATTCTCAAAGTTTGTCCGAAGTTTGGAAATGTTGAAAACCCTGATCCACCAATATTTATGATTTGTGAAGTCCACACTTCAAGAGGTACAGAACCATGGCATGAAAAGAAAGTTCCCTTAGCAAAAAAACCAAACAACCAAAACGATAATGGCCTAGAGTTTAAGCCTGAGGTTACTACCCTAATTCTCTCTTAAGCACTTGGTGATTCCTTCTCAGCTCTGCTCTGTGCTCTATAAATCCTATCACAGAAAGAAAGCTTATTTGTAGTAATTCAGATTATTTAAAAAGCTCCAATCCATTGATTTTCAAAAGTGATACAGATAACTAATGCAGCTGAACTTGAAAAAAACCCATTGCCTCCACCTAACAGCTGCTGTCAAACACAACAGCATTTTACCTGGGTAAGTGCCGTTACTCTGTTCTCACTAGGAAACAGTGGTGGATCTTCTCCAACCTGGAAATCAAAGTACACGGTTTTGTGTGTGAAAGTAGAGAATTCGTTGCTGAAGCAGAACTTGTATGTTCCATTTCTGGATGCAGTAAACGTGAAGCTGTCATACTGTTTCTTCATCTCTTTGTACAACACAGTGCCATCAGGATCTTCCAAACGACAGTCAACGTCATAATGACCTCCAGTGATCACCTGGAAATAAAAACCAAGAAATTGCCTTTTCAACAAAACAGACATTTATACACTTCTTCTAAGAAGTCTGGTTTGTCAAGTGGCACTGCAAAATTTCTTGCTTTAACTAATGTTTTAAAATATAATGCATTAACTTGAAAATGTTTCGAAGCAAGACTGGAAATTAATTTTCTTACAGAAGACATTCTTTTAGGTTTGGGGTATGCAATGTCAACCATATTTCCAAACCATTTACAAGAGCAATTTTAGTTCTTTTGTTACAAATAACTGTACAACAGCAAAGGCTACAGAGGATGAGACTTCACGGGGCAGCAAAGACAGCCCTGTAAAAAAATGACCATTTGCTGTATCCACAAGTCCTCCAAGGAATTAGTTCAGCCAGCTGAGACTGCTAACATGCAGTAAGATGGTTCCTTTCTTTATCGCCAAAAGAGTCTAGTTACCCTACTAGCTCAAGCTGCTTTAGGCTACAGGAATGGTGTCTGACCAGTAAAACAGGTATTTCAACCTGGCTGTCTTCATGTGAGCTTGTGAAGAGAACAATGTTCCAGGGCCTCTGCTGCCTCCCTCCTGCACAGTTACCAACAGCATTTCATCCCCAAGCCAGCACATCCAGATAATGCCTACAAGCGACTCAAAACTCCACGATTGTCTCAAGGGTTTTTTCAGGCTTTGATTATTGTTGGCTGAATGCTGGGCAAGCATCTTGCTCTGCAGACTACCTATCCCACCTCTTCAGAAAGATTAATCGTTAGCTTAGGTATTCATAACTTGGTGTTCTGATGACTCTTAGGCAGTAGTTTTACACTTAACCGTTGCTCCAATCTTTTTGCTTCTAAGATAGAGCATGCTGAAGAGGAGGAAGAGATTTTTCTGTAAAGGCATGTCCATTTTACACGTGTGCAGAAATCACTGAATTATTTTAGTATCTGAGTACTTGCACATGAGTTCACACAGTATTATTCAAACTCCCATCAGTTTATTCAAGTATAAAGTTATTAAAATGATAACATTAATGACACAACTGAAATAACAAAATATTTGAGCAGTAGCTGCTCTGTAAACAGCAATTTTTAAAAACATTCAGTTGGCAAGCAGTATCTTCACAGTTTTTTCAAAAATATGACAGCATACAAAGCGCAAAAAGATTTTGGATGTCTGGATCTCTGGACATCTCTCCCTAGATGTCTGCATCTGCTGGGGATTTTCATACAGAGATGCTTACCTGGTTGGAAGGAAAAACGAAACCAAGATTTTCTGTAATGAAACGATAGCTCATTTTTGAAGTATGATCTCAAATATGACAGAAGCGTGCTTTTTACCAGTTACATGAAAGCCACTCACCTCTAATTACACCACACACCCTGAAAGGGGCAGTTCACGCATACATGGCAAAGATTTTGCCAGAGCTTTATCGCCCCCTCAGGATTCCTTCCTGCAAAGCTTGCTCGAGCCTCCCTCTCAGCTCTTAAGACATACTGCCAAAGGACATGCACGCAGCAGTTCAGTCTACCGGCAATTGGTCAAATCCAGACTTTCCCTTTAACAGCACTACTCTTGTACCGATCACCAGCAAAAGTGACAACAGCAGGCTCATCTGCCCAGCAACCTCCAACCACATCCACTTCAAAACAGGGTGGAATGTACTGTATGGAAAAGACTTCAGGAAAGTAACAGGCAAGGACCAGAAACATTTGGGTAGGGAAAAAGACGTATCTAAGAAAAAACTAGAACGTGTGGGACAGAGTAACAAGAACCGAAGTTTGGCAGCAACACCTCCCAGAATATGCAAGGTGGGACAGCGGCTGGGAAAGAAAAAAACCAAGGGACTTCAACAAGAAAAGCTGGACCATAAAAGTACATAGCTCCTTGAAACGCCCTCAGCGGTAACTGCGCTTCCCGTATCCAAGCGCGGTTTCTCTCTCACGCCGCTGCTGTGCTGGCAGTGACTCTGCCAGCCGCGGTGACAGGCTGCGCAGTTCCAACTCTGCCAATACGCTCAAAGGCTCCACAGCCATCAGGGCTGTTTGCTCCACACACCTCAAAGCCGCACCCCGCGCTCCACTGCGACGTCTGCGCATCCAAACTGTTAGAAACCGGGAAAAGAAAGAAAAACCGTGCAGCCTCACTTCATAGGTGCAAAGTAGCCACAGCCTTTGGTAAGATGGAACCACCGAATCACATAATCATAGGTTGGAAAAGACTTCTTAAAACCATCAAGTCCAACCATGCACCCAACACCACCGTGCCTACTAAACCATACCCCGCAGTGCCACATCTACAAGTTTTTTGAACCCCTCCAAGGATGGGGACTCCACCACCTCTGCGGGCAGACTGTCCCAA